TGAATTGCTAGTTTGAGAGCCACTACTATTTGCAGACCTTTGTAGCCCATAAGGAGGGGGCTGCCCCCATCGCAGCTAATTGGAGGAAAATAACTATACCTGTTAAAATACGGCATTATTGGGGGGCTTTGGGGAAAACATGTCAGGGAAATAAGGGGGATAAGATCTATAGCCACACTCAAATATTGCCATCCATGAATTCCCCACCCTCAAAATTTATTCCTCAACCTACCAAGAATGATAGCAAAAAGAAGGGCAAGTGGAATCAGGATTCTGGTGATTGGAAGTGGATTGTGGCTTCTTAAAGATGCCAGACACAATAACAGATTCATATATCACCATAAATCATGGTTTGTTTTAACTATGGGCTGGTGGATACATCAGAGAGGTTTGACGAATGCACAGATGATAACCAAGGCTGGGATCACACATTAGATTAAAGCACAAACTAGCAAATCTCATTCTAAATCAGCATGACACTGTATACAGCTAATGTGTGTCCCATCATTAATCCCTGCCATATTCTTAATCCCTATCATATAACCATTATTAAAAACAGGCATTACTTTACTGTAATAGAAAACATTGACACACAGGCTGGAAGCAACATTCTAGAATCTACAGTAACATCCTTCATTGGCTAACAATAACACCTTCTGGGAATATAAAATAATACCTTTTGGGGACAAGAAATTTATTTATTTATTTATGAGACTTATATACCGCTTTAAGTGCAAGCACTCTCTAAGCGGTGTACACCAGTAAGCAATGTATTTATATATTTACATTGCCCCCAACAATCTGGGTCCTCATTTTACCTACCTCAGAAGGATGGAAGGCTGAGTCAACCTTGAGCCGGTGAGATTTGAACCGCTGACCTGCTGAACACAGTCAGCTAAAGTGGCCTACAGTACTGCACTCTAACTGCTGCGCCACCTCGGCTCATATAATACTAGATTAGTACACCCTTATAAAAGATAATGTCAAATCATGTTGCTTCAAGTATAAAGAAAGGTGAAAATACAATGAAGTTAACATTGGACCGGGTGCTAGTGCATGGTCTATGAATTATATCCATTTAGCTGTATAAGATGTTCTTGTACTGGGTTTCCAAGAAGTTAGGTAGACCTCCTCTACTTGGAGCAGGAAGGCAGACTGAATCATTCAAGTTACGCTATACTGTAGATAGGACAAGTTTCATCATTATCAATGAGGATGATTGGAGGGGTATAATAATTTTGGAGAATCAAATATACAAGAGGATCAAATTTCGTTGCCGATGTCATTATGATGCAATGAAAGTACAAATGGGTAGATCTCTATGCAAGGATTTTCATCAGAAGGAATATCAGTAGGAAGGGTAGACAAGAGGTTCACTCCATAAATACCAGAAGGTGTCACCTATAGCCAGGAGATTTATCTTGTCCTGCCTGGAAAAACATAGGCATTAATTGTTTCCCGAGATGGAGGCAGATCAATCTTGGGATTGCCTCAGTAGGATTTGATAAGAGCTATAACTTTGGGAAGCAGCCCTCTATTTGTGAGTGGTTGACTGCTACCTCTGATTTTTCCCCCTCAATATATGAATTATAGATAAAGATTGAATGTAGGACCCACCAATTTCATACCTGTAATGTAAGATGTAAAAGATATGAAAATGGAGTGGACTTCTCACTTGTTTGTTTAACAATTATACATACACATACATACCCAACTCATGCACAGCTAACTCCTGGCAGCTTATAATAGCCCTATTATAGGAGATTCTGATCTGGGATGTGGCAAGAATCCTAGACCACATGAATGCCAATAGTAGCATGTAGAAACTAAGGAAACACCTTGGTGAAAAATCAGCCACTTGCAGGGGATGGAACTGGAAGTTTTGCACCATTTAACCCCAATAAATCAAAGGTGTTCAGTTTTAGCTATGTATGAAGAGTAGAGGAACCTTGGATGTTTAAGACTCTCCAGAGGACAGATTCTCTGTTGGAACAACACTGGCAATAGCATGCCTTGGATCTGTGTGTCATTAAGGCTATGTTGATGCCTAACTCCTTCTTGGAATACAACCATTGTACTCACATACATGGTTGGAATTTTAATCCCCAAAGTGATTCAGACATTACTGCTGCTGATCCTTTGTAACCCACATAAAAGATTCATGACCTTACAAGCAAGCAAAAGTACAGAGCTGCACAGAAAGTAACTCCATTTTAGTATAAAACTTAATTCCAGTATTAACAGTTGAGGATCAGGTGGCACCTTGGAATGAAGCATGACATCAATTTATAGTTTTTTTTATCAAATAAAATTTCCAAACTAGCAAAAGGATCTCTCTCTGAGACTCTTCATTTTTTTCAAAAAGGCAAAATTGTCCTTTCAGATACTGTTCGAATTACTTCTGCACTGAGAGGAAGGCGTAATGCCAAGACATGTTAATAATACACATCATCATCTGCTCCAGGAAGTCCATTGACTCACCTGGCAGCTTGCTTTGAAACCCTCACCATAGCTGGTAGCTTACCAGAAGCAGAATTTCCTTCTCTCAACCCTCAATAAAACTCAGTATTTTGATGACTTTTCATGTTCACCACAAGCTAGCATAATGGCTAACCAGAACACAGTCAGCAAATGGTGGACAAGTGAGTCACACACAAAAAAGTGCCCCCAAAATCATAGTAATTGCAGTTGCTTTCAAACACCACCAGGAATAATCAGAACCAAACATCTGGGAAAACAAGGCCTCTACACCAGACATGTCAAACTCACAATGTCATGTGACTTCGCATGACGTATCGGAGCTTTTTCACCATTACCAGCAATGGGGTGGGTGTGGTTTCCCAATGATGTGTCCGACCCTTGGGCTGGCAGTTTGACACCCCTGCTCTATACTGTATCATAGTGCTGAGAAACTGCTTAATTCAAAAGGTCTGTTCAGGAATACAAGTAGTTGATTTGCAACCATCCCCTTTTGACCAAAGTTACAACAGCACTGAAAAAAGCAACTTATAACTATTCTTCACATTTACAACCATTACAGTATGCTTGTGGTCATGTGATCAAAAATCAGATGCTTGGCAACTGGCATGTATCTATGAATGTCGCAGTGTCCCAGGAGCACATGATCACCATTTGCAACCTTCTGACAAGCAAAGTCATTGGGATAACCAAATTCACTTAACAACTGTGCTACTTACTTAACCGCAGCAATTCACTTAACAACTGTGGTTAAAAGGTCATAAAATGAGGAAAATTCACTTAACAACAGCTTAGCAATGGAGATTTTAAACAATGGAGATTTTGAGGTCATAAGTCAAGGACTACTTGTAACCTGTTATGCTCGGGCAGGGCCAGAGATCTTTGGCATTTAGGGAGCAATCTGAGCATGGTAAAGGATGTTGACTTTCTACTTTGCTGCTGCAGCCAGGGAAGCCAGTCTTGACTCTCAGTTTCACTGGGTCCTCACTAAAAACAAACCCTTAGCATTTGATTGCAGCTTGATTCTTGGCTTCTCTATTTATTTGTTCTTTCAGATGCTGTTCTCCTGAGTAGTTTGTTTTGCATTCTGAACTTGGATTGGATTTATGACCTTGAGGTTAGACCGACAAATTTATCCTAGATAACACACTGCCATTAGTGAGGTTGGGTGCCATCAACCCACTTCTCTCCCAGTTTGACTTCACAGCCAAGGGCTCAGAGAATTAAGCCCCTTGCTCACCAAGAAGGGCAGAAGCAAGATAAGCAGCCATTTGGCCAACTGATGGACAGAAACAATGTATAACCAGCTGTGCTCCATTTAGCTGTGAAGTGGAAAGACCAAAAATAAGCTGATGTCCTCAGAGTTTTCTATGATCTGCAATGCTTTACTGCTGCTTGTTGTATTGTATGAGCAGCAGGTATTTATCATGTGGTAGGATGCAATGTTTCATCATCTAAAATTGCACTGACTGGAACTATTTGTCGGCTAGCATAGCAAAGCTTTACACACTTACGAAGTGGATCAGTATCAACTATTAGTTCTATATCCAACTGTAGATAATTGGTTCTATAAATCTAAAAGCAAAGCAAAAGCCATGCTAGTAATATAAGTCCAATCCACTAATTCTAGAAGGACATATGTGTTAGCCTGCTGCAATGAAAAAACAAATAGCAATAGCACTTAGACTTATATACCACTTTAAAGTGCTTTACAGCCCTCTCTAAGTGGTTTACAGAGCCACCATATTACCCCCAACAATCTGGGTCTTCATTGTACCGACCTCGGAAGGATGGAAGGCTGAGTTAACCTTGAGCCAGTGAGACTCGAACCACCAAACTGCAGGAAGCCATCAGTCAGCAGAAGAAGCCTGCAGTACTACATTCTAACCACTGCGACACAACAGCTCATAAACAAATCTTATGATACCTTAAAAATTGACACTTTTTTTTACAGATTATGTTGAGATCTAAGCACAGTTTAGATCTGGCTTCCTAGATATCTCATTAAATTAAAATCAAAGAACAAGTAAATGTTCTTAGTAAAAGACCATATGGAAAGTAAAGTTAGAGGAAAGAGTTCATGCAGCCATTTTACTTTTACATAAGCATAAAAGCCCATAATAATTTAGCTCTATCTCTCATCCAAATAATATACTCTATAAAATGGCTGAAATCTGGAATGCTGAAGACATGCTTTTATCAGAGAAACATTTGAAAAATATGATTGGAATTGGAGTTTTCTTGAACTTCCAGTCTGCAAGCTAAGCAGGCAAAATGTGTTTATTGCTCTTTCCAGAGAATCACTGTAGACATCCGAATATATTCTGTCTGGGAAGAGGATTTTGCTTATCATATTTCACCTGCACTGATGTAGTTACCTAGTTTGGTAATGAAACGTCTGCTAGAAGAAAAACAAGCTCAGACGATATCAACAAATCAATCCTGAGCTACTGATATTCTCCACTATTGCAACCAGAAACAATTCAGACATCAAATAATCTTATTCCCAGGGTGATCCTTACCATGAAGTGATAAGCTGTTGAGTTTGGACAGCAGATTCCAGAGGGGGGACCATTCTCCTGCCTCCAGTCTTCATCTTTGTGCTCCTCTAATAACTGCATGGAAGAAGGGGTGATTGTAGCATGTTGCTTCGGGAACAAACATAGCAAAGACAAACATTACTGACTCCACAGGAAAAGTTACTGCCTGTTATGACAAAGGGTCAGATGGTATGAGTAGCCATTTCGGTATTTATGAAACAACCCTCATAGTTCTTATTTTCCTGAAGGTTAGTGGACATATCATAAAAGAACAGAGTATGGTTGGATATACACATTGTACTAAATCATAATTTAATTACAATTTCTGGAACAAGACACATTTGTTAGGGTCTTTACATCACAGATCATGGTTTACAATGCATTACGGCTCAGCATAATATCTTCACTCATCCTTGGATATGCCCTGTCTACTGAAGTACAGAAAAATACACAAAGGTCTCAGACCCACATAATAATATATTATCCTTTAGTACATCATAATAATAAGTCATTATTTAGTACAGGAATAGCCAACTTGTCTTTGGCCAAGGCCACTCTAATAACTGATAAATGATTGACAATCAAATTATAAAGAAGTAATCAGAATATAAAGATATTTGCAGTCCCTGAAAATCTGTCAGTATTAAATAAATTTCAAAGCTACATCCATTGACCTCTGAGCCACAGTTAGTGGTTCGTAGCCAGGAACCTTAAAAGTTTTCAGTGTCACTGAAAAATGTTTTAGAGAAACAGAAATAGAAGAAGACTGACAAAGAAATTTTAAGCACAATATCATATCATACAAATTCTCAAAATTCAGTTCAGCTCTCAAAAGGAAACTTGATGCTGTATTAGTGTGAACGCCTGTTCAGACTACCGTATTGTTATAATAAATGTGCAAGCACTGAAAATACATGAAAATACATTTTAAAATTTATTTATACATCTAATTGCATGCCACCTATTCAAAGGCCACTTACACTCACTGTGAATCTTAAGATGCATTTTTTAACATCTACATTACAATGACCCAAACCCAGGCTAATAAACTAAAATTATTTTCTTCAGGGATAGATTCAAACTCCACACACATTTATCCATAAATAAAATATATTGTATCCCCTGTGTTTTAAAGAGTGACTCCACAAAGTACATGTTTTCTTTTTCTTCTTTTTTTTTAAACCCACTCTATGTTGTATTATTATTTATTTTTGTTTGGAACTGATAGCTAAGATTTGCTGCTTAGCAACATGCTAAATCATTTCAGATTGCCAACAGCTTGTTTTTCTTCTGTTTTAATTAAAGGAGCCTTATCTTTTTAGGGAGTGGGCTTTCCAGACATGCTGGGGGGAATTGCTAACACTTTGGAAGATACTCTCAACATTCAAAAGGATCTTGACAGAATTGAGCACTACAGCCTCTCCAACAAGATGCAGTTCAGTGGAGAAAAGTAAGGTCCTGCACTTAGGCAGGAACAACCAAATGCACAAAAATAGGTAGTACCTGGCTCAATAGTAGTAACTGTGAGAGAGATCTAGTCACTGAAATGACTTATGACCATTTTTCACACGTATGACCATTGCAGCATGCCCAGGGTCATGTGATTTATATTTGGATGCTTTGCAACTGATTCATATTTATGATGGTCACAGTGTCCCAGGGTCATGTGATCCCCTTTTGCAACCTTTTGACAAGCAAAAACTTGACCCCAATCAAAAACTTGATGAACCCCCCCCCAAAAGGAAAAAAGTGATAAAGTACAGGTAGTCCTCGACTTACCCCTGCAGCTCCTGAGGACTCTCTCACAGTAAGTCCTGCGCTGCGCTTTAGCTCGTTCCCTCCTCCGCTACACTTGGCTAGGCTGGGCAGGGCCGTGTACCACCTGCCAAGTGCCAATGTACCACTGGTGGTACTTGTACCACTGGTTGAAAAGCCCTGTGTTAGACTATCAGAGGAGTGAAGGGGGGATACTTGTCTTCTAGAACTCGAGGGCCCATCATAGAGATGAGGATTGACTTATTCTCCAAAGCACCAGAGGGCAGGGAAAGAAGTAATGGATGAAAACTTATTAAAAAGAGATCCATCCTAGAAGTAAGAAGAATTTTTCTCTTAAGTGTGAGCAATTAATCACTGGAATATCTCGCCTCCTGGAATTGTAGCTGCTCCATTGCTGGAGGTTTTAAAAAATAGACTGGATAACCATTTGACTGGAATGGTATAAGATCTCCTGTCTTGAGCAAGGGTCTGGACTAGAAGATCTCCAAGATCTCAGCCCTATGATGCTAGGTTCTTTGTTACTTTTCATACATAACTGGGGCAGAAGCTTAGACCTGGCGGTTCGGTCAGCCACTGTTTTTCTGTAGAGGTGTCAATTATAACCTTGATCTTGTCAGCAGGTGCCAACTTACAGATTCTTCCTCCATCACTCTTCTTTTTTCAATCAGTCACACTACATAAGATGTTATTTTGTACCAGCTCCAGGGGCAAAAATGCCGTTTATCTGCTCACTGTTGGTTCTCTTTCTCTTCTGCTAATTCACAGTATGTTATTCATTTTTTGCTTTCTCTGCCTGGGGCTTCTGTAAGAATTCAAACCACCCTTGCCTTCAGGTTGGAGGAAGAGGGAACGTGCATTTAGGGGGGAAAAAAACCTCAATTTTACAAAGCTTGTTCACACAGCTTTCAGAAATATCCACAGGAAATGGCACAGAAGACAGCTGCAGTTTCAGAAGGCAAAGTGCTTTGCTTATAAGGACCATTTATGTCCTCCCCACCCCCACCCCTCCACACTAGAAAGATGTCAGAATTTTGGGGTATAGTTTTCATAACAATGCAGCAAACTGCCAGGCAAATTATTTTAAAAACTCCAAGAGGACCATTGTTATTTTTAAAATGGCAATGTGCCAGGCATTAGCATTATTTTAAAAATGACAGATCTGCTTAGAGTTCCAGAAAGTTCAGGCAGATTGTACTTCCCTTAATCCCTTCCTCCATTCTGTTATATGCAGACAAAGATCCTCTGGCTTAGAAAGCGCAGGAAGCAATTTTCCAAGTAGTTTTTAGGATAAGCTGGATTTTGTAACTGGAGAAACGTCTTATGGCAGCCATTTTATAAACAGGACAGTTTTTCCCCATTTTGTGAGATTGCCTGAAACATTTATTCAAGATTCAGACATCTCTAGACCTAAAACACTGCCTAACAGTCAACTGGTATGGTAGAAAGATCTTGTATCCATTGAACCAACATTTTCAACCTCAACTTCAGCTCTGTTGCTCCAAAGAGGAGTTGAACTAAGGAGCAGAAGGTTAAAAATAAGGTGACCAACTGTCCTCCTTTAGGAGAGGACAGTCCTCCTTTTGTAAGTTCTATCCTCCCTTGAAAAGTGTCCTCCTACATGTCCTCCTTTTCGATATTTGAAGACTAATCTGCAGGGCTTTTTTTTCTCATAGAACACTCAGAATGGCGTTCCGGCACCATTTTTTAATGGTTTTTTTTTCAACTTTTGCATGAGCTGTGCTACTCCCCCTATTGGCTTTTGAAAGCCAATAGGAATTGCTGCTGAGCACGCCAAAACACCTGGCTGGCAAACTTTGCACGTGCAAGTTGTTGTGTCCTGAGCCTGCAAATGCAGGCTCGGGACGTTGCAATGGTCCCAGGCATTGCAGAAGCTTCCAGGGACCAGACTGTGCGGCGCCAGCTTTGTGTGCATGCGCAAGGCGTGAAAAGCGCCTGTTTTGTTGCCATTGTGTCTGGGGATCTGGTCATATAAAAAGAGGCCTGCGTGTCTTTGTTCATTGTTGGTGTTTTGGCTGAAAATGAAATAAAGAGTTGTTCCTTACAAGATGTGTCTTCATCATTCGCCATTATTGGAAGGACTTAACACAAGTTGTCTGCAGCAAAGGTGCATTGGCAGGAACTTTGCATGCCTCCCTGCTACCCAAGTACACCATCTCCTATTTAGTCCCGAAGATACCTGGAGGTATCTTCCATTTAGGTATGGAAAAATCAAAAAAGAGGAAATGCCATTTCAACGATAAATTGAATAAGGAATTTCCATTCATCATATCAAAGAAGGATAACATTTTTCTGCAATATTTGCAGCGGAGAATTTTGTATTGCAGTTGGGGGCATAGCAGCTATTACGAAATACTTGACCACCAAAAAACATAAGCAATCATCAGATGCATCTACTTCCAGTTATAAAGTAACAAGTTTTTTTAAAACTTCAAAGTATTCTGAAGATGAAAAACAGTTAGCTGCAATGGAGGGAACATTTGCATTCCATATCATACCATAATTCACAATCAAAGTTTTCGTAGTATGGATTGTACAACTAAATTATTGAAAAAGTTTCACGATGCTAAATTTTCATGCGCCAGGACAAAATGTGAGGCTATTATTAAATCATTATTAAATTTAAAATTAAATTTAAAAATTACTGTGACAAAATACTTACAGAAGACTTGGAAACTGCAGCATTTGTATCAGTTTTATCTAATGCATCCAATCATAATGAAACTAAATTGTATCCAATACTAGTAAGATATTTTAATGTTACCAAGGGCATTAAAGTAAAAATTTTAAATTTAGAATCCATTGAGGGCGAAACTACTGAAATTTTGTCAAACCATCTATACAGAGTAATAAATGAAAACAATTTGAAATCCAAAGTTTTTCACTAACAGCTGATAATACAAACACAAATTCTGGTAGAGGAAGATGCAAAGGGGTGAATAATGTGTATGTAAAATTACAAGATTTACTCCAAAAGAAAATACTAGGAATAGGTTGTAATGCACATATTTTGTCAAATGCAATCAACATGGCGTCATGTACCATGCCAATTGAAGTAGAAGTAATAATAATTACAATTTATTTGTATTTTAGTTGTTTTACTGTTCGTGTGGCTACTTTAAAACAATTTTGTGAAGAAGTGAATGTTCAATACAAAAAACTTTTAGGATATTCAAAAGTTAGATGGCTTGCTCTAACACCTGCTATAGAGCATGTTCTACAATTATTTGAGCCTCTCCGTTCATATTTTTTAAGTTTAGACAAATGTCCTAAAATCCTGG